AAAAAAAACGACGTGCAAAAAAGGAACACCTCTGTAGGAGGGGGGGGGGGCCTTTTCTTAATTAGAAAAATTATTTAATTACGTGAATTATACCGTCAAAAGGGTTTTCTACCCCCGCGGGATGCTATACGGATGAGAATGTGGGAGGGGCACGTACATACACGTAAATTTTCACAGAGCAGTTATATGTAACACACATATGTACGACATGCACACTTCTGTCACTGCAGCTGATGATCATGAGGTGACAAAAATGAGGGGTGGACCAAGGAGGCTACCACAAAAAAAAAAAAAAAAAAACAATAAAAAAAAATAACGAAATAGCAGAATGGTACAATCATAAAACCTCAGACAGTCATTTTTTTTTTTTTACCCTCTCGTTTTGTCGTTTTCTCCATGCACGCTCCGAGACAAAATGAAGTCTTGCTTCGCATGTGAAGTGTGTGTACTATTGTATAACCCTCACCCTTTTCGCGTGTCCGCTTCTTACCCCTACGTGTATGTACACAACAAAACAGTGGTCTCACTCGATCCCTCGCATGCAGTTTTTAAAGGTGCCACTAAGGCATTATGCAGAAACCACACACGCGACACACGGCTGCCACACAGCAACGCACTTTTTTCTCCTTTATCCTTTCACGATGAGCACAAACGTGTACTCCATAAAAACGCGCTCGTCATATCAGGCTATGCGTGGTGACGCTGCTAAAATGTGACTAAGCACAACGCGAGTTAGAAATAAAAAACGTATTGTTGCACACGACAATTGGGGACATCAAAATTGGTGCTCACACAGACATGCAGACGGGGCAGGGCCTACAATTAATTTTTTTCTTATATGCGGCTATTCTCGTACGTGAATAAAAATGTGGACATACATCAGTGTGCCCACATGTAAACACTAAAGGTATAAAACACAAAAACACAGCCCCGTGCGAACTTCTACGCAAGCAGGAGAGTGCACATACACATCACCAAAAAAAAAAAACCCAATGGACGCAAAACTACATAAAAAGGTATGGCGTCTACATGGAGGTGGAAATGACTTATGCATATAACTCAGGCTGGACGTGAGAAACAGTTATATATATTTTTTTTTTCCTATACGAATGCACCGCGGTAAATTCATAACTGATGACTCGCCATGCAGGGATTAGAGGAGAGGCACAAATATGTATACAAGTAACAGGTGCGTGAGACGTGCCGCGTGGGGAAAAGGGCAAATCAAATGAAGAATCAAAATGGCAACGCAGCATCCACAAACCCGGTAGGAGAGAGGTGGGGCCCAGTCAGCTACTCAAAGTGTCCATGGAGAGACGTAGAGTTACAAATGCAAATACAGTTCGCTGATGGTAGGTATACTACTTCTACTCTTTTTTATGAGGTCACAAAAAGTGGCACAAGGCACATGAAGCGTACATATATATATATATATATACATATATAAAAGAATATATATGCGTACTTTCTAATATACATATGAACACTCCCTTTTATGCATGGAGCTCTTTTAAGCAAAACGGTGATTTATGCATTTGGGGGGAACACAACACGTGTTGTTCCGTTAAACAACTGACTTGTTTGATGGGACTTGTTATTTTTTTTTATTTTTTTTTTTTTTTTATAAACGTTGTAATTATATTTCATGTATTACGCGTATATATATATATATATCTTTCTTATTATATGTACAAGTGCGAAAAGAAAAAATAAAAAATGACGCGATGGAAAATGGGTTATTTTTCGCTATACGAGAGAGCTGCCCTTTAGAACTGAAAACAACAAAGTGACATGTTCAGAAGGGGGGCGGATGGAGGAGAGCGAATAGGATGTAAAAAAGGTGAAGAAGTAAAAAAAATGGAAAAATGAATCAAATAAGAAAAAAAGTGAAAAATGATGGAAGTAAAAAAAAAAACATGTAACGACAATGACGAAGCCAAAACAATGATAAAAAAAAGTGATAGAAAAAAAAGCAACGGCGGGCAATGTGATAAAAAAAAAAAAAAAAAACGACGGTTTTTGCGGTTTGCCCCCTTTTTCGGCTTTTTGAATTTTGCAGTTGCCGTGTGGGGTAGAGATGGCTATTGTGTGATTCGTCTCGCTGGTAACATTGCGAGGGCTCAAAAAAAAAAATAAAAACAAAAAAAAAGGTGAATGAATCTCTAATTGGCGATTGGTAAAAAATAAGTGACGGTCGGCGCACCGGCAATTTGTTGCAGAGTGCCCGGTTGACGCCGCCAACACCGCGCGGAAGAACAAAAAAAAAAAAACAAAAAAAAAAAAAACAAAAATTCTCAAAGGGCGCTAAATGGCAGGAACCGCGCATGCACAAGTGCACGCACGCACACCGCGGTATAAGGAAAGAGGCGGGTAGAGGCACCCCAAACAGCGATGGATGATGTGGATTAGGTTTTATATACCCGTGCCAAGTAGGTATACAATAGAAGAGAAGTAGGCCTTACTGTTATACAAAATGTGGAATAAATACATATGTTCATATATATTTAGCCGACCCGCTTGAAACAAAAAAAGCGCTTTTGTTCAGCAGCTTTTTCTGCATCATGGAAAGGTGTCACAAAGAAAAAAAAGTAAAAGAAAAGTCCTATCGCCGTTCTTCTTTATACGAAGTGCAACATCGCTCCTTCTAACGTAACCCCCATAACGGTATAAAACTACACAATAAAAATGTATTTACCTGAGTGTTATCAACTTGTTTGCTCTCCACATAATGCAGCCTAGAGAGAACACGACTTCTGTACCACTTTTACTTAATGTTTCCTCGCTCAGTTGCAACAAAATAAATAAGAAATATATACATGTATACAATATGAAGGATCGATTAAGGTCCTCCACCCAACATTACTGCGAAGAAGAGGCAATTTTTGTTTCAATTTAAAAAAAGAAAAAAATGGAAATAGTGACAATTGTTTCTGAACCATGTCGAGTAAGAGGTGGTTACGTGCAGGCAAATGTTCCGAGTTGCACACCTAGGGACGCTCGCTGGTTAACAACCCTCTCGGTGTGGTGTCCCTCGCAAAGGTTAACCTCGCAAGCGTTTTTTGCACTACGCGCCGTTATCCTCTTTTACGGCTCTACCTCCACTGTGCTGTGCTTTATTTGGGTGCTCCTTTTTCCTTTGCCATCGTAAAACCCGGTTCATAATATTATACCCATGTTGACACACCAGTGCGTACGGCCAATGTTGTGTGTAGAGGTAAAGACTCTCTTCCAAGTCACTTCCTCTTAAACCTGCCTCTATACGCCAATCTGCCAGTGGGGAAAATTCAAACCCTATCAGACAGGGGCGATATTGTACAGCCACATAAATGTGTGCTCAATGGAAGGGAACGCAACTGCCGACAAAAGGAATTAAAAAGTGGGCACAGAAAAGAAAAAAAAACTGAAATGTAAGAATGCCCTATATATATGTGGCACCGTTGGGACAATCTCCTTCCAATGGACAAGTGCCCAATGGAGAAGCGACGGGGGGTAAGAAGCGGCAGAGCGGCGGAAAGGCCAACCGGTCAGACGCGGTAAAGAACAAAAACAAAGTGGGCCGATATGAGCCGGACAGAGTTGTATAAATTGAAAAAAAATAAAATAAAAACGAATCAAAGTTAAAAGGGAACAACATCAAAGCGTTAAAAAAAAAAAAAAAAAA